TGACGGCTATAGCTCGTGGTATAAAACAATCTACCCTCCTACAATCACATCTCAGCACAACCCAGTCCGGTTCCATATGCATTTTAATAGTTCAATCTCATACAATCCAGTATCCATAAAACCATTCTCACATTTAATACTCATTCAGCATCAACAATAAAATCTCAAGATAAATAATTCATGCCCACTTAGCTAACAAATTTATCAAAACACAAAGTTCATAATTTTATTTCATACTTTTGATATATAAAATATCATAACATATAATGATAACATTTATAACATCAACATATACTTATAATATCACATCAATAAGCATACAAGTTAAATTAGAAAGTAATTACCTCAAGTTCTTAACATAAAAACTAATTTGAGAGGATTTAAGACCTAGTAGCCCATACCATGTTCACTCTACAATAATAAAGTTATAAACATATATTAATAAGAATGCTAACTAATATAATAATAAACAGCCAGTGGCTAAATTTCCATAATTAGCTCACTTAAAAATTGTTTAGAAAAAATGACAATAATTCCTTTTTTCCTCTAATCATCCTTCCAAATCAAAATTCCTAGAACTTCTCAACTCTATTTCACTCATTAAAATTATTAACAAGAATAATTCTTTCAAAACTTTCAAAAATGTCCAAAAAAGTGCTTGCTTTAGTTCATAGGAAAATAACGATGTATCAACTATTTTCCAAATCATCATTACAATCATATTTCTTTCTTCCATCAATCATCCCTCACTCATTAGAATCATCAAATTACAACATTCTCCCTAGTTTAATTCAAAACACCTAAATTTTACTAGTTAAAATTCCTCCAAAAATAATCAACATTCATATTCCAACAAAATCCTAAAAATCCAACCATTAAATCTTTAATATAACCTTCAATGAACTAAATTAAGAGTTTAAGTTCGGAATTAATAGCATCATTACCACAAATTACAATTTTCCTACCTAACCCTAACTTAAATTTCCTCAAATTAACTATTGAATTAAAAATCTAGATCATAGGACTCCTATTCTAACCCCCTAGGCTCCAGTAATATCACAATAATAAATTAGAAGCCTTAAATATTCAAAATCTAACAAGCACTATTTTTTTCCATGTCAACTGTGACGACCGTTCTTCCAAAACCCATTTAGATTAAATCCAACAATTTATTCGAAAGATTAACCATGATAGAAAAGAAGAAATCTTAAAATTTTAAAATCATTATCATGGTTAAAAGAAATAAACATATATCACGAGCAACGTCGATAAGTAACTTGGGCCTTGGACTTCCAAAGTCCAGGAATATCATTCAACCCTTAGCCCAAATAAAACTCATACTTTCAAAAGAATGTCATGTGCAAAGTCTTAGAGACCTCTGGCCTTCTAACGGCTCTCTCATCAAATAGCAGTAATCAAAAGTATTAATTTACAACATCAGAATAGATGAGTACTATGTGGCAATATATAAATACTCATCACATGACAAAAAGGAGGCTATACAAAATAAACTTTATAGCTAAGCCTCCGCCATCTTCCCCTAGAGCTATTACTTGAAAATGTTAAACCACGAGAGTGAGACAAACGTCTCAGTAACCAACTTTTCAACTCATCATACATATTAACATGTGCATGTGAGGTGTCAAGTAGGACAATCATTAATTCTCAAGAAATATAGATATATCCATAAAAATATAATTTCAATCATTCAAACCTTCACTATGGGGGCCAACACACAAGCCACAAAAGTGTATCCCTCACTATAGGGGATAAATCAGACATATAGGTCTATCCCTCACTTTGAGAGACGAATAAGAAGCCACAAAGGCTTATCCCTCACTTTGGGGGACGAAGGAAGAAGCCAATCAATGTGTACTAATAGCGGCCTTACCACGTGGTAGAATAGGGCTCAATCCAAAATCCAAATAACAACCAATCATTCACAATATAACAAAAAAAATATCTCAATCTTTTCTCAGTATAATCCATAAGATATAAATCGTATATCTTTCCAAACTTCTCAATCACAATTCCAAAAATCCCACAAGACAATTTTTATAGCTCAAAAAGTATAACATATCTACTCGAGTTCCAAATAACAAATCACTATTATAAAATAGTAAAATACTCACAAACAATATATTAGCACATATAACAAGTGGAAAGTGGTTACCTCGTGCCAAAGCAATAGTAAGGATTACTACAAGGTCAATCTTTTGCTCAACTAATAATTAATCTACACAATTAATATAAGCACATATTAATATGAGCTAATTAATTAATAATTAAGCTTATATATTAGTTAAATTCCTAATTTAATTTAATTTTCATTCTAAATTCTCACAATTCTCATAACCCAAAATTAAGTACTTTGGAACTAACTTGTAATCTTCTAATAAGCCAAATTATTTATTTACATCCTCTAGATTATTTACTTCAATAAAAATATTTATTCAATATTTCTAAATATGAAATTATTATATTTTAAATTTTAAACATCCCATTTGAAGTTTAAACTTCAAAACTAAATCATAAAAAATTCAATAGTACCTCAAATATTTATATATAAATAATCTAATCAAAATTTTAATGGCATATATATATATTTTTCATAAATAATAAAATTTAGCTAAAATAATTATTTTAAAATCTTTAGTCACCTAATAAATAAAACTAAACCGATTAAAATCTCAATAACATGTTAAACAGCCCAAATAAATTATTTAACTTAATTTTAATCGGTATAAATAAGATATATCTCATAAATAACATATTTTTAATTAAAAATTAATTTTTAAATACTAAAATCAACAAATAGACAAATCTAAATTGGTAAAAATGATCTACTATAACAGATCTATAATACTGTGGTTAACACTCATCAAAACTAAATACTTGCTCCAAACTCTATATAAAAAATTTTCTCTAAACAACACAAAATTACTATCATTAGATAGATCTGACTGAGTAGAACAACTTTTATAAAAGAAGTTTTATAATTATAAGTAGTTTTACTTACCAAAATGATCTGTAACTTTGGAGAAAGAAACATGAGAGAGAGCAACGCTGTGACTGGGAGAGAGAGGAAGGAGGAGAGCAAATGACGAGGGGCAGTGGTAAAAAAAAAATGTTTGGGGTAAACTGAAGTTAAAAACCCTAGCTAAAACGAAGAGAATAACAGTTTAGAACCTTTTTTTTAATTTTTAAATATTTAAATCCTTCAAATAAAATTTAAGATGTCACATCGACAACCCAGAAAAATAAATTAAAGAGAAAAAAGCAAGATAAAATAGGATGTAAATAACTTATCAAGATATCTCAAATGAGACCAAGCAATCCCCTTTTCTCCTCTCAAACTCCCCCCCCCCCCGGCCCCCTCACGGCACTCGACGAATGTGTGAGGAGAGGAACAAAAAGCTTCTGACGCGACGGGAGGAAGAAAGGAAAAGAAAATAAAGGCTGCCTACTGCGAGCGTGTGCAAATGAACAAGGGAAAAAATAAAATAGGGGTGGGGTCATGTGACCCCAACAAATGATTCCTTAGTACATAAATTTTTTTAATTATTTGTGGGGGGGAACATGTGAGGTATCAAGTTCCCCCTCCTTGTTAGATAGTGGCTGGCATGTTTGCCACCTACTATTAAAATTCAAAATGCTAAACTAATTACTACTAGTTCAGATCCTATTTATAAGAACTAATTGACTAATTTGAGAAGATTAAAAAAAGAAGTTAAGTTAGTCATTTGTAATAAATAGGTATTGTCTTTTCTAAAATATCCTTACTAATCAATTGTATTGGGCGGAGCTATTATTATTAGAAGAACTATCTTAAAAAAATATATAAATATGAGAGATAAAGTGGATTGGGGTGTTATATTTAGGACCAAAATAAAAGTCAAATAAGGTCTTATATTAAGGACCGGAGGTAGTATATCATTTTAAAATAATACTTCAAAACACTTATATTTAATTTTTTTCCTCACTTTAATTTATAAATCTTTTTTCGAAAAGTTATTTCCAATTTGAGTAAATTCTCTTTATTCAAATAATAACATTATAATTTCAATTACTATTAATTAATAACAAATATAACTTAAATCCTAGGAATTAAAACTTGGGATGTTACAAAAATACTTCTTATAGTAATTGCGGTCGTTAAAATATTTTCCTTCTAATATACATGATTAAGAAAGATATTTTAAGGAAGGCAAAACTTATTTATTACAAATAAGTAACTTAACTAAATTTTTAATATTATTTTATGATTTTAGTCATTATTGGATTTCTATAAATATAGTACTTAGATTTCTTTCTTTTGTAAGGAATTTAGACTTGGATTTCAATTAAGGATACAATATTTTTATTTCAATTGAGAGTGCTTAATGAAGGGGTTTTTTTTTGGATGAATCCCAGGATAAATTAAAATTTCTAAATCTTTTTATAGCAATGAAGAATCGTGACTATCCTTGTTAATCCTTCCATGTCTTGTTTTAAAGCGGAAGTCAGTTCATTGATGAAGAATACATACGATGAAGGCAAATGAATTCCAATCAGTCCCAAAATAAACAAAAGAAATAAATAATACCACTAATATAACTCACTTATAACATTTTCTGGTGTACTTGGAATCATATTAAATTGATAAAATTGTTTAATTCACTCTCATTAGAGTTTTTTTTTCTCCCTCTCTCTCTCTACATTTGCAACTGATTCTTATATCCCTCCTCTCTTTTTTCTCTTTCCAATAAGAATTAATTAAAGATAAAATTAAAAAATAAACATTAAATATACTACAAATGATTTGGGACAAAAACTTTCTCGATTAGTCACTTAACCGGAGTGGTAAAAACAAAAGAGAAGACTTAAGCGCTAAGGAAAGTGGTGCGTCACCGCGTCGGGTTGACGCAAGAATTTCTCCTGAAGAAAGAGCCCACTTAAGACTTAAGCGCGAAGCATTAATCATACTTCCTTTTGGATATTAAGTGCCCACTCCGACCTGAAGCTGAACACTACACTAGCCATACCTCCATACAAAACTCCGGCCCTCATGGATAATCTCCCCGAAGCTTGCATCGCCCACATCCTTTCCTTCACATCCCCCCCTGAGGTCTGTAGGCTTTCCTGTGTCTCTTCCTCCTTCCTTTCCGCCGCCGTCTCCGACGCCCTCTGGAATTCCTTCATCCCTTCCGATTGCCTCTCCCTCCTTTCTCCTCCTCCCTCCTTTCCTTCCAAGAAGCATCTCTTTCTCTCTCTTTCCCACCAATCCCACGTCATCATGAACGACGGTCTCAAGGTATTCCTTTCTCTATTTCATTTTTAACTATTCCAATCTTAGTGCCCTGGTAATTCCTCTTTTACTTAGATTTAAGGGTTTCAATCTCATGCCTCTTTATGTATATTCAGAGTTTTTGGCTGGACAAATTTAGTGGGGCGGAATGTTTCATGCTATCCTCGAAAAATCTCTCTATTGTTTGGGGAAGCACTCCGGAATATTGGTGGTGGCCTTCGGTGCCCGAGAGCAGGTGAGCCAATAATAGAAACGTTACTTTGCCGTTTTCATGACGTGACCTGCAGAACTGCTGCGTACCTTGCAGGTTTAAGGAGGTTGCTGAACTTCGTGATGTTTGTTGGCTGGAAATTCGAGGGCAGATCAACACGTGCATGCTGTCTCCTTCAACTCTGTATGCCGCTTACCTCGTGTTTAAATTAACTCCTCACGCCAAGGGGCTCAAAAACAAACCAGCGGAGGTCTCCGTTGGGATTGCTGGGAATGATAATGATGCTCACAAGCGATTCATCTATTTGGATCCAAGAAAAGCACAGAGCGAGAATCTTAATCGACGTCAGGCCAAAAAAAATAAAAAAATTCGACAATATACAAATAAGAGAGCAGATGGATGGTTCGATACTGAATTGGGAGACTTCTTCAACGAACGAAAAGATGACAGGAAGCTGGAAATCGCTATTTGTGAGCTCAGTCCATGGTGGAAGGGGGGCCTTGTCATTGAAGGATTAGAAATTAGGCCCAAAACACAGTAAGTGAATTGTGAACCTCTAGTGTTAATCGAGCTGGATAATACTATGGCACTTTTCTTCCAAAATAAAAAATAAATATTTTCGTCAAATTACAAAAGCCAAGGCGGCACTAATCAGTAATCACAGCACAGATTGATGGATTTAATTAAGAATGTTACGGTTGATCATTCTTTATTCATATGCATGTGCCAGCTCGTGCGACGAGAGGATCATAGAAAGATTATATGTGGCCGATGCTACTTATCAAACCAAAATCCGAATCTATGTGGCTATGTAAAAATCAATAGCATACACGTACATATGTATTACTATTACAAGGAGGGTCTCCGCAAGTCTATCTAGAAGTGTGATAAGTGACATAACGATTTTTTTAATTATTTTTAAATAATGAGATTGAGTCCTCCTTTTTGCAATTTAATAAACCAGTTAATATTTGTTTGTATACTGCACATTTCAGTTACCCCACGTTTTATTTCTAAATATTTTGAATTAGTTAGGTTTTTCTGAAAATTGTGGCTGTTTGTAACTTAAAAAATTTAATTTAGCGTGTTTTATTTTTCCCCCCGAAAATATGTCACTGCTGTTATTTTTTACTGGGGATAATTATGTTAATGTTGAACTAATTAATTATTAAATTTATTATTTGTGCTTATTGAAATAAATATCTAACTGACAGCTTTGTTTTGGGGAATAACAATGGATATACATACAAAAAATAAAACGTTGGTTATAAATACCATTACTTGTGAGTTTAATCCGGTGGATACTTCCGCACCGTTCGTTTGAGGGAATGCAAATGATTGAATATTTTGTTGATTTTTTTTATTCCTGTAAATAATGTCACATGTTGAATTCTCTTACAATACTTAGTTATATTATTTACATAATATTCCATAAAAAGATTGACCTTTGCCAAAAAAATAAGGATATGTAGCAGTTTTGACAGAAGAAACTTGGAGGGGGAAAAAAGATGAGATGAGATGTTCAAGGTAGTGGCTATTTTCATAAGATTTTAGTTTAGATTGATTAATTAATTAATTAATTAATAATATAAAAGTATGAAATTTTCACTAAACCATTGCACCTTAATGTAGACGGGAACTAAAGACATTTAAAAAAGAATTGCTATAATTAAACATATGATATGCATTTACTTGCCATCAAGTTATCTGTTTTAATTTTATAATATATTTTTGGGTTAATCTAGGATTGTACTCTTCCGATCCTTAATATAGAACTTAATTATTAAGTTGATTTTTGTCTTAAATATAGGACCTATTTATTATATTTATCAATTTCTTCTAAATTATCCCATATGAATACTTCCTCAACTATAATCAAGTAGAAGAAGGAGAGAGGATATTAGGAAAGATGACTATGGCATTTTAGAAAAATATATAATATTTTTTATAATTAACTAGCTTACCTAACTTCCTTAATCTAATCAAACTAGTTAAATAGGTCTTATATTAATGACTAGAGGAGTATTCTACATGGCATACTATTAAACCGGGTAATAATTTACATTTAAGACACTATTTAAAATCCAGAGTATTATAAATAGCAAAACAACATCATGTATAAGAAAGATTTTGACAGTGCAACTATTTATTAATTATTAAGTTTGACCTCTAGAATTTTATTATGGACAAAATATATCATGGGTTACAAAATATAGAATTTTATGTGGCAAGCTTTACACAGATCAACATTTTTTGTAACCTCCTACTCTATAAACCTTTATGAAAGCAGATTTAAAAACTATGGTTGAGAGTTTATACTAAAAATGTGGTATTTTTAAAACTTTTTATCTACTTTGACTCAAAACTTATAACTTTAAACTTTGAAAGTTTTATATAATATAATAAGGCCTGAAATCGTACTACCATGATCTAATAGCAACAACAATTTATCAGAGCTGTACAGATGTTTTTACAAAAAATTCTACTTTTCTGTTTCAGCTCTAATAAATCATATTTGGTAAATCCTAAACCATTCATACTATAGATAGGTCATTAATATATGCATATATGTATGCTAAGTACCCAGTTATGCTATGTTACCCCCAAAACACTACTCATTATAGAGGTACATACATCCCATAAGTGAAAATTACATAATCTCACAAAATGAAATATGAGCATCACAAAAGGAAGGGGGAAACAAACACAAAAATATTCCAGATTAATTAACCAACTAAACACTAAGCTCTTCTTCCCTTCCACCTTAGCTAAGCTTCCACCAGAGAACAAAAAAGTATTGCCGAAAGGACAGTACAGCTACTTCTTATTCCTTCCTATACCTATAGTCGAAGGGGCTTCCCGAAAGCATTGATTGAATGTCTACCTAGCGGAAGGAAAAGATTACATAAGATAAGAAGAAAGAGAGATCGGAGAATCGGTTTTGATGGAGTCTATTCAGATGCCTAAAGTCTTATAATCGAAGGCTCAGGAAGCATTCTCTCTGTCCCTCCGTATCTGACCCACCACCCTTGCTCTAAGATCTCACTTCGCAGCGAAGCTCGTTCCGCGCTTAAAGAAAGCAAACTCAGTCCTTAAGTATTAGGGCGACAACGGATCGTTTTCCGCTGTCGGTTCAGGGTAAAATAAAAGGCTGTTCAATTTAGAGACAGCCTTTGCTTGGGTGTTGTGTTCTCGGGGCTTGGAACGAATGCCTTTCTAGCCCCCTGCGCACCAGGGGAGCCGCCTATGTTTGTCCGATTTTCTACAGGACACAGCCTCTAGTGTACCTATTGTCTTGGCCTTTGTTCGCTCGATCACATCACTTTGTGGTGTGGTATTGTGCGGAAAGAAGTTTAGTAAATACACACTTCTCAGTGACGATATCGTCATCGGAGACGCCGCAGTTGCAGAGAGGATTAGCCTAGGCTCTTCAAGACCTTACTCGGCTTGAGGAAGAGGAATAGATAGGTACACGAGGTGAGCGGAAATCTATTATTCTACATTTTCCGGATGAGGAATCTACCAAAGGAACAATCTTTGAAGAAGAGAGGGGTTCTCTTTTCCTTTGGATGAACTGAGCCCTATGGTTAAATAGAAAGGAGGGGTGAGATTCAAAGAATTCCAATAACAGTAATCATATTTCATATATTATGCATGGTATAAAACTAAGCATACAAAATAAGCCATGGAAAACAACACCTCACAAAATAATTGAACTGAGTAACTAACTGAGGCATATTCGCTGTTATTTAACTGAATCTCATATAACTGTTGCGCATAACTGAGTAACTGAATAACTAAGCAGCTGCTAACTGATTAACTGAGATTAACTGAGCATATATATACTGAATAGCTGCTAATTGATAACTAAATAACTGAGCAGTTGCTATCTGATCAACCGTATAACTGTGCAGCTGCTATCTGATCAACTGAATAACTGTGCAGCTGTTAACTGATTAACTATTAAATGCACATATATTGAACAACGAAATGCATGCACATTGCCATGGCAATAACTAGTAAGGCAATTTACATGTTCTCATGCTTAACTATAGCATTATGGCATAAACAGACATGCAACCAAAACAAAACATATAAAATGATGATTAAAGCTACCTTCTGCCTGCTCTCCTGTGTGGGTACCTTTCATACTAGTTAATAAATCATACTTGGTAAATCATATTTGGTAAATCCTAAACCATTCATATTATAGATAGGTCATTAATATATGCATATATGTATGCTAAGTACCCAGTTATGCTATTATGCTACTCCCAAAACATTACTCCTTATGGAGGTACATACATCCCATAAATGAAAATTACATAATCTCACAAAATGAAATATGAGCATCACAAAAGGAAGGGGGAAACAAACACAAAAATATTCCAGGTTAATTAACCAACTAAACACTAAGCTCTTCTTCCCTTCCACCTTAGCTAAGCTTCCACCAGCTTCTCTTTTCCTTTGGATGAACTGAGCCCTATGGTTAAATAGAAAGGAGGGGTGAGATTCAAAGAACCCCTGTAACAGTAATCATATTTCATATATTATGCATGGTATAAAATTGAGCATGCAAAATAAGCCATGGAAAACAACACCTTACAAAATAATTGAACTGAGTAACTAACTGAGGCATATTCGCTGTTATTTAACTGAATCTCATATAACTGTTGCGCATAACTGAGTAACTGAATAACTAAGCAGCTGCTAACTGATTAACTGAGATTAACTGAGCATATATATACTGAATAGCTGCTAATTGATAACTAAATAACTGAGCAGTTGCTATCTGATCAACCGTATAACTATGCAGCTGCTATCTGATCAACTGAATAACTGTGCAGCTGTTAACTGATTAACTATTAAATGCACATATACTGGACAGCGAAATGCATGCACATTGCCATGGCAATAACTAGTAAGGCAATTTACATGTTCTCATGCTTAACTATAGCATTATGGCATAAACAGACATGCAACCAAAGCAAAACATATAAAATGATGATTAAAGCTACCTTCCGCCTGCTCTCCTGTGCGGGTACCTTGCTCTTGGTTTCTTCTTGGTGAGCTAGGACACCAATTAAATCCTAACATTTCAAGTACATATATAGGATGAGTTAAAATTGGGATTCTGGTTAACCCATAACTAGCTAAATCTTTTTATAACCCCCGCTCAGGTGTACTCTCTTCTCTTAAGGTAGCTGGTTATTTTAGCCCAAAATTTACACTTCATCTATGTATTTCTAAAAGTTTCTAACACTTCCCCTTTCTTGTGTTTCTCTTAACTTCCTATTCTATTATGATTTAGCTAAGATAGTACGATTTAACTTAGTTATTAACTCTTCATGCTTCTTAAATAATTGCTTAGCATACAGGAACACAAAACAACAAACTTAAATCATAAATAGCTATGTAGAACATTAACTTGACATTTAGAGATATTTAAAGGAATTTCAAATTAGTTCCTCAGGTTTAGTTCAGTCTTACACATTTCACAAACATGGATGGTTTCATCAAGCATTTCGGTTTCCTTTATTATCTGTTTTGAACATTCAATCTTACTCACATAGCTAAGAATAACAGTTTAACATCTAAACGTATAATTCAGCTTATGGCTTTATCACATGTATTGATATTAATCAACAAGGAGTTTTTCAACTTATGACCCCTAAGCATTTAATCTAACACGAACCCATAACATATAAGGTAATTATTCACTAATTGACAGTGTCAATCATCAACTCGTACAAAAATATTTCATGACAATAATATTCAATTTCAGCAACTAGAAAACATGAATAAGAAAGTCCATTACACGCATCCCTATAGACCACCTTGCATTCACTTGCTTTACTCATATTCTTACAAGTTTATAATCAACTTTTAACCATCAGACGTTTCAAACAGTAGCACTATATAACCTGGAAATTATTTTCTAGTTTCATAACATAGGTATGCTTCTTTTAATTCTTTAACCATTCAGTCTACACAGAACGGCTCCCCTGAAGATTTTAGCTCTTATGTCAGATATTAAACCATCATTCAAGAGTCTCTAGACCCAGCTCATAAGTTATTATAATGGCTTAATATTCAGAAGTATAAACCAGCAAGTTCTCATACATTATTCAGTTCCAATTTTAACAATATATCATATAAACTACAACTCAACAGATTCCAATTTCAAGAACACTGTTTCGGTCATTATTTAAGCATCCTTAAAACATACTCTAACGCCTTGAATCTCTGGTTTAACATTCAGAAGCCCCAAACAATAATTTATAATCAGTTTTCAAACTCAATAATCCTAATCCCATGACTCATGGCAACATGCAAGTATACAATTCCTATCCAATCTCCCTGCTCCAACATTTTCGAATCCCTTTAGAGACTCTTATTTAATACCAATGACAGCAGCATCACATTTAAATCACTTCCCCTTAGCTCAAACAAGAAAGAACCCGACTGCAAGTGTACGTTTGCATTTATAGATCAAAATAAGGGAAATTACAGATAATTGGCTTTCTCACATAAAGCTTCTATTTTCAGCATCCATCTCATCCAGCAACAATAATATAACACGCATATATATATATATATATATATATATATATATAGCTTAGTTATTCAAGCTTCAATAATTCAGTTTGGCCTCATGACAGCATCCTTCTTAAATCTGAATTATCATCCTCATTTACTAGCTATCATCATTTTCACTTAGCTTGATTATCATCCAACAGTCTCACGGGTTCCCTCAAGAATCTAGCAGCATTTTAATAGTTTATACCACTGTTATAATATCAATAATAGCAGCATTTGAAAGTTCTATAAAAATACTCCAGCTTCACATATTCAGATCACACAACCACAGACATATTCTTAGCAGCCAGAGAAATTTCTTCTTTTTCTTTTCTTTTTAGTTAGCTCGCCCAAAGTTCAAATAAAAGAATAAAAGCAGCACGGACACACACCCATATCAATGTATAGTATTCAAGTGTTTAATGTCATCAAATCGAAAGCCCAAACAACTTTTCTTTCCATTTTATCATGAAACCCAATGCTATATCCACCATCACAGAGCACACATGCATGCTTAACTATTCAAGCTTCAAGTTTCATCAATCAGCAATCATTTAAAGTACTCAAGAATGCAATTTCAGTTCCAGTATTGGACACCGCAGAAGATCAAACAGGGGCGTCCCTGCTACGGCTAAATACCAAAACAGATTTAAAGACACAAAGCTGCAATCTCGGAAATATGACCCAGAATTTGAATGACATGTACCACATAAGAGACATCAAAACAAAGTCACTGATTTTATATCAATTTTATTTTTCAACTACCCAAGCTTTAATCTTCACCCAATCGGTGATTTCTCTCCCAACTGAACCCATCTCATCGGTTAATGACAATGATTCAGAGGAAGGAAATAACTCGAACAATACGAACACACACACACACACACACAAAAACAGCAAGCATCGGGTTTCGAAATCAGAAAACAGAATCAATCCAACACATGCAATGCTAAATATTAACTTAATCTATCTCTAGTTATAGTTTCGAACCTTTAATCATCATTTTCCCCTCACTTAGAACCAGAATTCAATCACCCCTTTCCTACTGAAATCATCTAATCGAAGAAATAAAAGATGGGAGAAGACTTAGGAGTCCACCTTGGTTCGAAAGCCGACTTGCACGTAATCTATCTCCTCCCCGAAAGCTTCCCTGCTTGGATCTCCCTCCCAGTGTCAGCTCTCTTTCTCTTACTCTCTCTCTCGTTCTCAGTCTCTCAATCGGCCTCCCCACAGTCTCTCAGACTCACACTCTAATATAAGCCATCAAGCTTAATTGCCTAAGAGAGAGAAGGGAAGCGTGTTGAAGGAGATCTGATATAAGGGAAACAGGTGGCTGAAGGTAGTGAAAAGCAGGCAGAGAACATGCCACGAACGTGAGAATTTGGGAATGATCATCGATTCATCGTGGGAAAAGACGCGTATAATTAGGGTAAAAGACAAAAGTTATTTTTCCCTTCACAAGATAACTCTTATCTCAATTTTATCTTTTTTCTAAATTTTTACTTTAATCTTAAATAGTTTTTAAAATTGATCTTCAGCATTTTGTAAGAGTTTTCTTTCTTTTTAGCTTCTTTAGCTCACTAAATAACTTTCCTAAATTTTAGAGGGTGAAAATTAACGTATAACTATTTTTCTTGAATTTCTCAAGAAAATAAGCCTTTTATTTAGGAAAATAGATTTTAAATTCTCTCTACCTTTTTGTTCATCCATAAACACATTTATCTCTCAAAACAGTCATCTATAATTTTTCCTTAGTTATTTTAGGTCACTATATATTTTTAATAATTATTCCTTCTTTATTTTCCTATATGTCTTACTCAATAGTAGACTTTTATAGAATAATTATTTTCCTGAGGCCTTAACTAAATATTTATGCCTCTCAAACATCTTATAAATTTGTAGCTATAAAATTTGAAATATTATATTTTTCAATTACACATTTTACCACCGTATCACATATACATCGCATGTTGAGTGGTTATACACACATGCATCGCTAATAACATTCATTTTCTTATTGTAACCATAGATGAATTTTTTGCAAGATAAAGAGTGGGAGCCGTTAGATTTATTCCCGTCAGTAAATTACTATTGTTGTTATCGCACCATCCGTTTTCTCCAAGTATTCACATGACTCCTACATTCAATTCAGTTCGTCCTATTAACCCATGCATACAAAATTGAGAGTCAAAGTTCACGTGGTTCGATTATGGACTATGCCTGGATGTTACTCTCGTGGAGATATCATCCATGGAAATGATTCTGAGGGACAAGGATGTGAGTGTTTTACTGATTAATTTAGGTTTGTTACTTCCTATATTCTAACAGTTATTTTTCTACACATTGACAACATTCACGTTATAGTTAAGACTGTCTTCTTTCTACGACAATGCTAGAATTTTGAAGAAGGAAAAACATATGTGGTGTCGTATTTTTATGTTTCTTCCAATACAGGCTTGTACTGAGCTTGTACCCCAATTGAAGACGTGAAACCAAAATATTGGCAAATAATAATAAATCTGTTAAGTTGTTAAAATTATTAATAAATCTGTTAAGTTGTTGAAATTATTAATTATTGAAGATTAAAGATTAATAGATAAACTCCCAGTTGATCAACACATAGCATATTATACTTAAGTCTTAATAGCCCCAGATTTAGTTAAAATCTCCACGTCCCCAGCTTAATTTGAAACAATCAAGGTTTTTTAAATATTTTTGTTTCATATTATTATGAAAATAATTATTTTTATTATTATAATCAAAATACATAATATAATATCTTAAAGTATAATGGAACATAATGTAATAATATAATATATCATCACATGCCTTATATTTAGTACTTCTCCGGTCCTTATTATAAGACCCAATTTGACTTTTTATTTGGTCCTAATTATAAGACCCAATCCATTTTGTCTCTTATATTTATGCATTTTTTTCCAAGATAATCCTTCTAATAATGATAGTTTTAGCCAATATACTTAATTAGCAAGGATATTTTAGGAATGACAACACTTATTTATTATAAATAACCAACTTAACTTACTTCCTTAATCTCCTCAAATAAGTCAATTGGGTCTTATAATTAGGACCGGAGGAGTATACCATTATGGCTATAATAAATATAATATTATATAAAATATGATGTATATATAACTTTTAAATATTACGTAATGTATATTTAGATTATTTGTTCTAACCTCTTGTCCGACCATTCATGTCAAGTGTGTGTGATGCATTGCGTGTTCCCATATATGGGGTAAGCTGTCAAATTCTCCCATAACCACCAATATTTGCGATATATAATCTCATTTATTTTACCTTCAATGATTGGAGGCTTACACAAGCGTGTGATATGTAATCATTTTGGGTAAGCCACATAAAAGCATCATCTAATCCATTTGGAGGCAAGGTTGTCCTGTTTGGGGGTGATTTCAGACAAATATTACCTGTCATCCAAGAGGAAGTTGTGAAGATATTGTGTATCCTACAGTAAATGCTCATAATTCTGGAATGATTGCAAGCTTTTTAAGCTAACCAAGAGTATGAGGCTCATGAGTTCTCAAACAGCAGCCAACAATAAAGAGGTACACCACTTTTCCAATTGGGTTATATCCATAGGGGATGAAGCTGTCCCTACAGAGAATAATTCTGAGAACTTGATAACCATGCCAGATGAATTTCTGTTGAAGTCCAACACTACACCACTGGAGTGTATTGTGAAAGCCATATATCCTAATTTGTTACATCATTTAAATGATAAGCCATATTTCCAGGAACTATTCTCGCTTCCACGCTAACGGATGTTGATGAGGTGAATAATTATATTTTTGATATGATTCCCGAGGAAGAAAAGGTTTATTTAAGTGTTGATAGTCTCTCCAAGAAAGAGAAGGTGCACACTTCTATCAATGTCAGGTCTTCTAAACCACAAACTAAGGTTCAAGGTGGTTGCTGCCATTATGCTGATATGTAACATTGACAAGTCTAACGGTCTATGTAATAGCACCCGTTTAATTGTAAGTAGGTTGAAGCAAAATGTTATTGGGGCAGAAGTAATGACATCAACTAGTGCAGGTGCAAGCGTATTGATCCCAAGAACAACCGTTACGCCTTCAAACACATCTCTCCCATTCACTTTGCGTAGAAGGCAGTTTCTAGTCATGCCATCTTTTGCAATGACGATTAACAAAAGCCAAGGACAAAGCTTGCAAAATGTCGGCCTGTATCTTCCTCCCCCTGTATTTACCCATGGTCAGCTATCTGTTGCACTCTCACGTGTTCGGAGGAAGGAAGGCTTGAAGATATTATTTTAGATCAAGATGGAAATGCAACAAACAAATCTCGTAACATTGTATACAAAGAAGTCTTTTGCAATCTGACTATTTGATTAATTAAAAAAAATCCTTAGTTCTATTTTTCTCCACTGATCTTCAACGCTTCATTAGCTTAAATGTGATTAATTAACCAATTCGATATTACGTAGTTAAAAACAAGTAGCATAATTTTTTAAACTACACCCACGCATCGCGCGGGTTCTGTACTAGTTGCTTATTAAAATAATCGTAAGAATATAATTATTCTCTATTGTAGCACAGCATATTCTCATGTTTGTGTGTAGAGGTGTGTGTTTATACGTATGTATTCTTTATTATATTATGAGCTTTTGAACTCTGAGAGCTAAAAAAAGAGAAACTCTTAAATTATGCACATTTGAGCTCCTATTAATTTATTAGCTCTTTAAGGTTGTATTTTTCAAGTTTGTTTCATCTAATTTATTTTCCTGGCCTTAATCTTTTATCAAATTTATATTATATATATATATGTGTGTGTGTGTGTGTGTGTGTGTGATGCAAATAGACACGTGAACTTTGAATGATGAGTCTTCAAGCAGTACGGTAAAGAACCTTAATTATGCACCTTGTGAATGAAATTAAAAACCATATATCTCCTTATCATTTAAGATTTATTTATATTATGGTGGTCTTATCCAAAAATAAATAGAGAAATCAATATATTTTACCATGTTTCTTCACTTTCAAAAACAATTTGGAGATTATTCACAAGACTATTATGGATATTTTAATTTCTAGCCCTTTTCTTCCTCTTCTTTTGGGGATCATTCCCCAGACTCACTAACCCATTGAGCTTTGCCTGTAAACAAGACAACTTGAAACAATGCTGCTACAAATGCTGCTTCGCGCACATACATATCACAAGAAAAAGCATTTGGAAGCTTGGAGCATTAAAAGACGCATTAGAGACCCTTTGCCGTTGGGTACAATGGGTATAATATGATCCAGGCACTGAAGGTTCGAAGCCGTTGTAACTGGAATGAACAGTTTTTGTTAAATGACAGAGGTTTTGGCCCTTGTTTGTCGAAAGTTGATGGCAATGGCATGCTTGTCATCGGCAACACTAAATTAAAAAATTATAGTTTTTTTACATTATCATAGCATGTGCGACACATCTACTTATGCGACAAGGTATCCCAATTCAGGCCGCATTATAAGTTGATAAGAGATAAAGTTTGAGAAGCTTTTTGACCTGTTGAGAAGCTAACTTTAAAAGTTTTCTTTATAACCGTCGTTTTTAATTTTTAATTCAAATAATCTATGTTTAATGAGCATCTCAAAAAAATTCAAAAATTGGACTCTTTTTGCTATGTCACTCCACCCATTACATATAACATCATTCTATCTCTTCGGGGAAAAAACAGAAAGATTATTGTGTCTCTTGGTTGAGTGTTTCGGGTCTACCTAAAACACACTTGTATACCTGGAATATGATCATTTCTAGTAGGAAGATACCTGTGTCTAACAAAACAGAATCTATTTTTTTATACATGAAAAAATATATATTATGCTATCAGAAAAAAAATCTACTCCTTTAGTCCTAAATATAAAACTCCTTTTATAGTGTAATTTTTACACTATAAAAGGGATCTTATATTTAGAACCAGAGGAGTATAATAATATTCATTTTGCAGATTGAGAAGAAAATGTCCCTTAGCGGACATTCTATAAAATTGGAACGATGCACGACGAGAAGAAATTCATTGATTGAGTAGTATTGGCAAGGGTAAAAGCCATTCATTTCCACGGTGAGATTGGAAATTATGGTGAATTTCCTGGTGCTTTTTCTTTTTAACGAAAAAATTATGGTGAATTATGTTGATAACCAGATTGTGATCTAACCGTGTTGAGGCGGCAGTTACAAATTTA